TACCACTTGAGCCACAACAGCGCCACTTCCAGCTTTTTTTCTTTTTGCTTATGTGGTGCTGAGGAATCGAACCCAGGGCCTCAGGCATGCAAGGCACGCGCTCTACCACTGAGCCACCTTCCCAGCCCCGCGCCCTTCTTTTCTTACATTTCAATATAATTATATATACATATTATATATATATATATATATAATTTTTTGTAAATGTAAAGAGACACATAAGCAGTGCTTATGTGTTTGTCCCCTAACAGTATCCTATTTCGGTCTCACTGAGTGTGTCTAGAAGCCTGTATAGTTTATCATATCCCAGGATATTTTAGATCCAGCTTCCACATATGAGAGAAAACATGCACTGTTTGTCTCTCTGAGCTTGGCTTGCCTCCCTCAACATTATTTGTTCTAGGTCCATCCATTTTCCCCCAGATGATATATGATTCTTTCTAACGGTTGTATAAAATTTCACTGTGAATAGGTACCACATTTTTGGAACCATTTCTTCTAGCAGGGCATCTGGGCTGTTTCTGTATTTTGGCTGTTGTGAGTAGTGCAGTAATGAACGTGGTTGTGCAGGTGTCTTGATGGTATCCTGACTCATAATGTTCTAGGTAGATGCCCAGGAGTGGTATGACTGGGTCGTAGCAAAGGTCTATATATAGCTTTCTGAGAAACTTCCAGACTGCTGTCTGGAGTAGTTGTGTGCAAGTTTACAATCCCACCGACGGTGCACACAGTAATATTCCTCCCCCCCTTCCCCCCTTCCCACCAACATTGGTGGTTGTCTCAATTCGCGGCGTTGGCTGCTCTGACCGGTGTGAGATGGTATCTCAGGGTTGTTTTGACCTTTTCTTTTGGAGATCCCAGCTCCTTCTCACCATTTGTAGGTGCTGTAAACCTCCCCGCGGCAGCCTTGGGGATGCTGTTTGGAGGAATCCTCATGAAACGGTTCGCTTTCTCTTTGCAAACCATCCCCCGTGTGGCCGCCACCATCATCACCATCTCCACCATCCTCTGTATCCCCCTCTTCTTCATGGGATGCTCTGCCTCGGCCGTGTCTGAGGTCTACCCACCCAGGTAACGGGAGTAAAGGGCACTGCTGCCCAGATGGCCTTGATTAAGCCAGAGCCTGAATCCTGCTGACAGATAATCTTGCTTTTTGACCCTCCCCACACATCTTCTCACCCCTCCATTCCCCTCTCTTCCCATCTCCTCCTCTCCTCTCCTCTCTTCTCTTGATCTGATCTCTCATAGGGCGACCTAGGAAATCAGGTCTTTGATAGTAGGTTCCGTTATGAGTGAAGATCACAGTGTTCTAAGGAAGCCATCCACAATCAGGGCTCTGTTGAGTTTTTGTTTTTCTCAGAAGCACCCCCTCCCACCAAAACTAATTAGCTTGGTTTCAGGGTAAACCTGAGCCTCAGGAACTAGGAAATCATCTATGTGTAGCATCAGCTCCAAGGGCCAGCTAGAATTACTCATTGAGCAGGTGAAGAAAGACAAGAGGGCTTCTTAAAAAGACTGGGAGAACAGTGAAGGCTGCGGTAGATTGGAAGTTAGGGTGGGTGAGGTGGGGGGGCGCTGAAAGGAAGTGGTAAGTTGAGGGGAGGGGGGGTATGTTTGTATGCTGGTACTGGGGCTTGAACTCGGGATCTGGGCACTGTCCCTTAACTTTTTCGCTCAAGACTGATGGTGCACTCCCGTTTGAGCCACATGTCTACTTCTGGTAGTTAATTTTAGGGGTAAGTGTCTCATGAACTTAACCTGCCTGGGCTGGATTCAAACTGTGACCCCTCAGATCTCAGCCTCCTGAGTAGCTAAGATTATAGATGTGAGCCACTGGCGTCCGATGAAGTTGTAAATTTTGAGCCTAGCTGTCCGGTGTTTCTTGGGCACCATCTGGCAACAACTTTTGCTCTTGGACTTTGCCTAATGAGGCTGCAAGAGCTGGAGACCCAATGCGTATTCTTTTTATTTTTGTGTGTCTGTGGGACCCAGGAACTGAACCCAGGGCCTCATGCATGCGAAGCAAGCACTCTACCGCTAGTCCATCTCCCCAGCTCTGCAAATTCTTTCTTCTTCTTCTTTTTTAAAAAAATTTTGGCCAGTCGTAGAGCTTGAACTCAGGGCCTGGATGCTGTCCCTGACCTTCTTTTGCTAGCATTCTACCATGTGAGCCACACAGCACCACTTCCTGCTTTTTCTGTGTCTGTGGTGCTGAGGAATTGAACCCAGGGCTTCATGCATGCAAGGCGAGCCCCCTACCACTGAGCCACCTTCCCAGTCCTATTCTTTCTGCATTAACCTCCTCTGACTCTGGTAGGTGAAGAAGGGTTACAAGGGAAGGGAGAGGGTGGGTATTTAGGGTGAGCAGCTTGGGGTGGTCCTGGGGGGCTGATAAGCCAATCAAGAGAAACCCAGAATTTTATTTTAAATTTTTTTTTTGCCTTTGTGGCTTTCACAATGCTCAACACATACCAACAGATCAGACCGAGGTCTTTCATTACAGAACTCTTATGAAGGATGCCAGTTATCCCAGCTCAGTCAGTTTTCTAACTCATGGTAAACTTCTTGTGATAGGAAAAGGCCCCGAGCACTGGAAGCCTGGCACCTAAGATGCCTATAAATATTAATGATCTTGATTTTTAGACACTATCACAGACTTCCCCCAGAGATGACCAAGATCCGCCAATGGGGGCAGGAGGGTGGGGGATGGGAATCCCTTTGGTTTGAAGTTCACAGGGCTGTGGTTGGCCGGGGTGCTATCTCATTGGCCCCAAAGACAGGCAACCAATGAGAGCTCCAAATTGATTGCCTTAAGCGGAGGGAGTCTTTGCCTTCCACCCACCCAGCTTCAGCTCAAGGGGAGCACTCTACCACTTGAGTCACGGCACCACTTCCGGTTTTCTGGTGCTTTATCGGAGATAAGAGTCTCATGAACTTTCCTTGCCCAGGGCTGGCTTTGAACCGTGATCTTCAGATCTCAGCCTCCTGAGGAGCTAGGATAACAGGCGTGAGCCACGGACGCCCGGCTCTGACCCGGTCTTTCTGAGTAATTGATGGGTTTGGTCTCCAAGCATCAGGAAAAGAAAAAAAAAAAAAACCAGAAAGGCCATAATCCCAAACAGTGGTAGAGTCACCGTTGGCAACTGTCTTCATACTTCAGATCCCAGAAGGGCAGTAGCCCAAGACAAACAGAGACACACAGACACGTGAACCAGCCCAGGAACTCACATGGGGCTGCAGTGTAGATTTGTTTCTTGGACTTTTTTCTTTCTTTTTTTTGGCTTTGTTTGATCCCTCGCTTCCTGCTTTACTGGCAGCACACCAAGTTCTATACATCCGCAGCCTCCCGCCTGCCGCAGGGACTGCTTGTGCCCGGATGCCATCTTCCACCCGGTCTGTGGAGACAATGGAGTCGAGTATCTCTCCCCTTGCCACGCCGGCTGTAGCAACATCAACATGAGCTCTGTCACCTCCAAGCGAGCGGTAAGGGCCAGCCAGGGTCCAACAGACCACACCTTGGTCTCAGGGACAGTGGCCAGTCCAACCGACATCCTGGCCTCCTCCCCGTCCCACCCATCCTCTCTCCACCTCCCCTCCCCTGAGGTCATGGACCGGATGCTGGCAGCCCCAAAGTCAAAGACTGGCCTGTGTCCAACCAGTTCATTCTAAAAGCCTCGTAATGCTTCAGCAAATCCAAGCATGGAGCTAAGTCGGTTGTGGGGCTTGAACTCTGGGCCTGGGTGCCTTCCCTCAGCTCTTCAGCCCAAGGTGAGAGCGCTCTACCACTTAAGCCACAATGCCACTTCTGGTTTTCTGGTGGTTCCTTGCAGATCAGAGTGTCACACTTTCCTTATCTGGGCTGGCTTTGAACTGTGATCCTCAGATCTCAGCCTCCTGAGTAGCTGGGATGTACAGGTGTGAGCCACTGGCGCCCAGCAGGAGCGATTTCTTTGACCCTCAGCTCCCAGAGGTGCCATGTACCATGCAGCTATATAGAGGAAGATCTGGACACTTGTGTCCAAGGCTGGGTGTCTCTTGACCACTAGCCTTCTACTTGGACAGCTGGCAGCAACTGTGTAGTCTGTTGGCCGGGCCCTGTCCATCCCTAGTGAGCTCTGGGGTTGCAGATTCTTCTGAGATCAGCCAACCAGAAACCAACTCAAATCATTGGTTAATTATTCAGCACATGTACATGGCCTACCGGTGACAGGTACCTGAACTTCAAGCTACTCAGAAGGCAGACATTGAGTCAGATTGACTCAGATCTACTCAGAGATCCACTCAGAAGGCAGAGGATCATGGTTTAAAGTCCATGCAGGCAGGAAAATCTGTGAGACTCTTTTTCTGCAATTAACCACCACCAAAAATAAAAATAAAAACAAAAACAAAAAAATAAAAAACCCACCACACCAGAAATAGAGCTTTGGCTCAAGTGGTAGAGTGCCAGACTTGATCAAAAAAAATAAAGCTAAGGGACAGGCCTAGAATGGTGGCTCAGTGGTAGAGTGCTTGCCTAGCATGCATGAAGCCCTGGGTTCGATTCCTCAATACCACATACACAGAAAGAGCCGGAAGTGGTGCTGTGGCTCACCTAGCCTTGAGCACAGAGAGACTCAGGGACAGTGCCCAGGGCATGAGTTCAAGCCCCACTAATACACACACACACACACACACACCAATTATTCAGCACTGTCACAGTCATGGTGCTAAGGATGTACTAGGGGAAGTAGAGAGAGAGAGTTGGATACCAGACCAAGATTCTGCTCCTACGGGATACACATCCTAGCAAATAAATGCCTAGATAGAGGCAGGGAGAGATTTAATGAGACAGGGACCATCTGGGAGGTCCTCCCTGGGGAGGGGACAATAGAACAAGCAGAAAGAGATCACGGAGACCTGGAACTAAAACACTGCAGGTCCAAGGAACATCACGTTCAAAGGCCGATACAAGAATGCACCCGGCAAGTTCCAAGTAAGGCATGTCTCACCCAACCAGTGAATGGATGGGCCAGAATTGGAAGGCCAGGCTCGCTAGGAGTTAGATGTTCTTTCTCTGGAGGAGCATAACCTAATACGATGCCCTACAGAGAGCTGTGAGCCCACATTTTTTTTTTTCTGGTAGCTTTAGTATGGTCTTGTTTGTGATCATTTGGATAAATGCCCAAAAGTGGGATTGCTGGCTCATAGGGGAGTCTTTTGAGGAACCTCCATACTACTTTCCAAAGTGGTTGAACAAGTTTACACTCCCACCAACAAAGGTGGCCAAAGGTTCAACAAAGGTGGCCAAAGGCTCCTTTCTGTCCACATCCCCTCCAGCATCTGTTGTTATTAGAGTTCTTGATGATAACCATTCTAACTGGGGTGAGGTGGTATCTCAATGTTGTTTTGATTTGCATTTCTTTTATGGCTAGTGACCACATTTTTTTTTTTTTTGGTTGGTTGTGGGCCTTGAACTCTGGGCCTGGGTGCTGTCCCTTAGCTCTTCAGCTCAAGGTAAATGCTGTACCACGTGAGCCACAATGCCACTCCTGGTTTTCTGGTGGTTTATTGGAGACTAGAGTCTCATGGACTTTCCTGCCCGGGCTGGCTTTGAACCTCGATCCTCAGATCTCAGCCTCCTGAGTAGCTAGGATGATAGACATGAGCCCCCGGCGCCCCTGGCTTAGTGCCAGCTTTTGTTTTTTTGTTTTTTTTGGGGGGGTCTGGTTGTGGGGCCTGAACTCTGGGCCTGGGCGCTGTCCCTCAGCTCTTCAGCTCAAGGCTAGCGCTCTACCACTTGAGCCACAACAGCGCCACTTCCAGCTTTTTTTCTTTTTGCTTATGTGGTGCTGAGGAATCGAACCCAGGGTCTCGGGCACGGAAGGCAAGCGCTCTACCACTGAGCCAACCTTCCCAGCCCCGATGCTAGCTTTTGAACTGTGTAAAATCATGGAGATCGCCACGGGAAGTTTCCTTTCTTCTTCAAGGTCTACTTGAACTGCAGCTGTGTGACGGGAGTATCTGCTTCAGCCAAGACTGGATCGTGCCCCATCTCCTGTGCCCACTTCCTCCTCCCAGCCATCTTCCTCATCTCCTTTGTAGCACTGATCGCCTGCATCTCCCACAACCCTCTCTACATGATGGTCCTGCGGTGAGTGGCACCCCCTGGAGACCTCCACATAACCCACTTTTCTTTCTTTCTTTCTTTTTGTCTGTTGTGGGGTTTGAACTCTGGGCCTGGGCACTGTCCCTCAGCTCTTCAGCTCAAGGTGAGCGCTCTACCACGTGAGCCACAGCACTGGTTTTCTGGTGGTTCACTGGAGAGAAGAAGTCCCAAGGACTTTCCTGCCTGGGCTGGCTTTGAACTGCAATCCTCAGATCTCAGCCTCCTGAGTACCTAGAATGATGGGTATGAGCCACCGGTGCCCGGCTAACTTCCTTCTTCTTGAAGGGAGCAAAGAGTGGGAGAAATCTAGCCCTATTAGGCCCTTCTTTAAAGGTGGAGTCCTGTGCAGCTGCTCGGATCGTGAGCCCACAACACCGGCCTGGAGCAAGACATTCTTGAATCTGTGCACAGAAGCCAGCAGCCCCGGGGGCCCTAATTACAACACAGCTGTCTTCTAGAAGACACTCTAAGGAACTTGATCAGACTTGAGCCAGCAAATCCTCCTCCCAGGGCCTGCCTCTCCTGCTTTGTTGCTCTTTAAGGGGGTTTTGAGGATCCTTGAAAACGATATGGACCAGTGATTCTCAAACCTGAGCTCATGTCAGCCATCCCCTGTAGAAACACAAATCTTTAGGTCCTAGCTTAGTGTGTCTTGTGTGTGCAGGCATGCGTGCATGTGTGTGTGTGTGCGTGTGTGTGTGCGTGTGTGTGTGTGTGTGTGTGTGTGTGTGTGTGTGTGGTCCTGGGCTTATACTAAGGATCTGGTCTATCCCTTAGCTTTCTCACTCAAAGTGGAAACTCTACCACTTGAGCTACAGCTCTACTACTTCTGGCTTCCTGGTGGTTCATTGGTGATAAGAGTCTCATGGAGCCGGGCACTGGTGGCTCATGCCTGTCATCCTAACTACTCAGGAGGCTGGGATCTGAGGATCTCAGTTCAAAGCCAGCCTGGGCCAGGAAAGTCCATGAGACTCTGATCTCCAATGAACCACCAGAAAACCGGAAGTGGTGCTGTGGCTCAAGTGGTAGAGCGCTCACCTTGAGCTGAAGAGCTCAGAGACAGTGCCCAGGCTCAGGGTTCAAAACCAAAACCAAAACCACAGATCTATTTGGAGCATTCAGCTGGGGTGACTCCAGGACTGGTTTGGAAGCTGGCTGAGTCCTGTCCGGGTGATGGTACAGCCCTGAACTGTCCCATTCCTGAGTTCCTGTTTCTCTTTGCAGGGTGGTAAACCAAGATGAGAAGTCTTTTGCCATTGGAGTACAGTTCTTGCTGATGCGCTTGCTAGGTACGCCTCAAAGACAGTGTACCCTGATCCCTTTTGGGAGTCGTGGCTTCAGCCTGTAGCCATGCAAGGATTTTGGGGCACAAGGCTGGGTTGAGGGAAGCCCCCCACATCTTATTTGGGGGGAGGGCGAACCCTCCCCCCCCCAGCCAGATGGCTTTCCTGCTTGCTCGAGGGTAGGAAAGATCTCATCTACGGCCTTCATTCCAAACCAAATTATGCAAGCAAAATGCAAAAAAACAAAACCAGCTGAGAATACCTCATAACAGAGTTAAAAGCGGGTATTTAAAAAAATAAGAAAGAATCTTGTCTCCAAGAATTTGCCGTAGGAATAAAAAAAAAAAACCTACAACATGTTATACCCCAGACAGAAAAAAAGAAAAGCAGCCCAGGCCTGCAGCCTTGGCTTTCTTTCCCAACTTGACAAAATAGATTCCTCCTACCTCTCTCCGGTGGAGAGGTTGTCTGCCTGCAAACCCTGTCTGTCCTCAAGGAGCCCAGAGGAAACACCCCTTACCCCCTCCACAAGTGCTCCCCCAGGAGCACTTCCTGTCAGAAGTACCAAAGGATTTGGCTGAGGATTCTTCTAGGCTTGTTTCCTATTTGGGAGGTATCTTGAAAATCCAGTTCTCAGAATCCTGAATAGATTGTGAGGCTGTTCTTGGCAGTGTAATATTCCAGACAAGAACCTCCAGTGGGCTGCCTAGAACATCATGAAGGACTCAGAACATACAGGGAGGACTCTAGAATATTCCACAGCCACTAAGGCCTATCATCTGTTGGGGCCCAAGCTCTGAGCAGTCAGGTATCTGGAAGTAGGGTTATCTAATCCAATCAGGGAGTGATAGATGTAGGATTTGAATCCTCGTGATCTATGCCTGTGTCCAGTCCTGATCCTAAGTGAAAATGGCCAAGCTCACGTTTTCTTGGTTACATCAAGGCTGTCTGACACACAGGGGTTTCCCTGAGAACTTGGGAGGCTGATCCCCTCCAGAGCAAATTTCTGAGCCAGGCACTGGTGGCTCACACCTGTCATCCTAGCTACTCAGGAGGCTGAGATCTGAGGATCACAGTTCAAAGTCAGCGTGGCCAGGAAAGTCTGTGAGACTTTGATCTCCAGTGAACCACCAGAAAACCAAAAGTGGTACTGAGACTCAAGTGGCAGAGCACCCGCCTTGAGCTGAAGAGCTGAGGGACAGCGCCCAGGCCCAGAGTTCAAGCCCCATGACCGACCAAAATAAGAAAAGAAAAAGGAGAAAAAGCAGGAAGTGGAGCTTGTGTCTCAAGAGTTGAAGAGCTCCAGAACCATGAGTTCAAACCCCAGTAACAACACACACACACACACACACACACACACGCAATAGAAGTGATGCTGTCTGTCTGACCTGACATCTCTTTGACTCTCTGACGCATCCCATCCCAAGAAGATGACCTAGGCCTCTTTGATCTTCTAAGCCTCCTGGTAAAAAGGGAATTCAGACTTTGCTGACACCCCTATTCTGCTTTCCCAAGTCCTTGGAACTCCTGAGAATAGGGTAGAGCCATTCCCACCAGTGAACCGTACCCAGGGCCCGGGGGCACGGGCAGAGGGGGGGCATGTGGATGTGAGGGTCCATCCCTGCCTCCACCTCCCTGTGACCCTGCTCTCTGGACTCTTCTCCCCCTTCCCCTCCCCTTCCCACTTCCCCCTGCTGCCACCAGCCTGGTTACCAGCCCCAGCCCTATACGGCCTCACCATCGACGCCTCCTGTATCCGGTGGAATCTGCAGTGCTCCGGGAGGAGAGGGGCCTGTGCCTATTACGATGTTGATGCTCTCCGGGACAGGTAGGTCTGGGATGGGGGGGATGGGGGGAGGATAGGTCTTGGCTCCCACGGACACAGCTCTGCAGGTGGAGGGAAGGGAGAGGGCTGATGGGCTTCTAAGGGAGAGGACGTTGACTATGGTGTGTGTGTGGGGTGGGGAGTGGAGGGTCGAGGGGGATGCTAGCCTTCTGTGGTAGCAGAAGTAGCAGAGATCTCCAGGGCAGGGAGGCCCAGCCTGCTTCAGGGAGCGCTGCAGAGTGCTGCCCCCCTCTGACCACCTGCTGTCATTACACCAGCTGGCACCTGGAAAGATGGATGGGCTGGTGGAGAAGAGCAGGAGAGGTCCAGCAAGAGGGTAGCAGAAAGCTACCTCCTCCTCCTCCTCTTCCTCCTCCTCCCCCTCCCCCTCCTCCTCCTCCTTCTTCTTCTTCTCCTCCTTCTCTTGCTCCTCCTTCTCCTTCCCTCCTCCCTTTCTCCTCCTCCTCCCCTTCTTCTTTTCCTCCTCCTCCCCTTCTCTTCTTCATCCTCCTCCCCTTCTTCTTCTCCTTCTCCTCCTCCTCTTCTCCTCCTCTTCTTCTCCTCTTCTTCTTCCTCCTCCTCTAATTCTTCTCCTCTTCCTCCTTTTCTTCCTCTTTTCCTCCTCCCCTTCTCCTCCTCCTCCTCTTCTCCTCCTCCTCCTCTTCTCCTCCTCCCCTTCTCCTCCTCCTCCTCTTTTCTTTCTTCTTCCTCTTATCTAAAGACAAGGAGTGGGTTGGGAAGGTGGCTCAGTGGTAGAGCGCTTGCCTTGCATGCCTGAGGCCTTGGGTTCAATTCCTCAGCACCACATAAGCAATAAGAAAAAAGCCGGAAGTGGGGCTGTGGCTCAAGTGGTATAGCGCTAGCCTTGAGCTGAAGAGCTGAGGGACAGCGCCCAGGCCCAGAGTTCAGGCCCCACAACCGGACCCCCCCCAAAAAAAAAAGACAAGGAGCCTCTGGGGTTGGCTGGGACAATAGTATAATCTCTGACCTTCTGGAGGGTTCCCTTGGTCAGCTGAGGATCACTGATGTCTTATTTCTTCTTGGTAGCTGTATTTCCTTCCTTCCTTCCTTCCTTCCTTCCTTCCTTCCTTCCTTCCTTCCTTCCTCTCTCTCTCTCTCTTGTCCATCGTGGGGCTTGAACTCAAGGACTGGCCGCTGTCCCTGAGCTCTTTTGCTCAACATGAGCGCTCTACCCCCTTTGAGTCACAGCACCACTTCCCGTTTTCTGGTGGTTCACTGGAGATAGGAGTCTTAAAGACCTTCCTGCCCGAGCTGGCTTTGAACCATGATCCTCAGATCTCAGCCTCCCTAGGAGTAGCTAGGATGAGCCACCAGCGCCTGGCAAAAGTATCTATCTTTTTGAGTCAAAAAGATGAGGAAAGCGATCCTCCCATACACACATACCTGAGCGGTAATAGATTCCCTGAATTGATATACAGCGAGTTTCTCTGCCCTAGTGAGAGAGGACATTCTTCTTCCTGGAGGGGGGCACTGGATCCAGCCACCCGGGCCCCTGCCCACCTCCTTCCTGACTCCTTTTCTCTTCTTGTTCCCCATCCCTCCCCCCCTCTCCCCCCCCCACCCCCAGGTACCTGGGACTGCAGCAGGCATACAAGATACTGGGCACGCTGCTTCTCTTCTTCGTCAGCTGGAGGGTGAAGAAAAACAGGGAGTACAATGTTCAGGGGAAGGCCTCGGGCCTCATCTGACCCACCATTTGTGGGGGACTCCCCCCAGCCTTGTTCCTGAGACTGAATTCTGCCTCTCCACACCTACCTGTATTTTCTAATGTCATCTCATCTCTCTCTCTCTCTCTCGTTTTTAAATGAGAGAAAAACTTAATCACCATTTGCCTTACCCTCCTCCTCCTCCTTCTCCTCCTCCTCCTCCTCTTCCTCCACCTCTTCCTCCTCCTCCTCCGCTTCCACCTCCTCCTCCTTGTCCCCCGGGAGAAAAATCCCCCTTTCCCAGACAGCTTTGCTCTCCTCTGGCCGCACAAACTCTGCAGGGGAGAGGACAGAGGGGAGGAAGTGGGTATCTGAGTTATTCATAGTCAGAGCTGGGCTGGGAGACTGGGAAGGGTTCTGGACTCTCTTCCTCCACAGAGCCTTACTTCCTGTCCCAGGAGAATCACCTGACAGCGGCCATGTTGGAAAGCACAGCCCTGTCTCTCTGTCTCTCTCTGTCTGTCGGTCTCTCTCTGTGACTTGTATTCTGACACAGAGCCAGAACTAAAGGACTATGAGACTTGACATGAACCCAGGACCTCTCCGCCCTTGGTTCTACATGCGTTTATCTGGGGGCTTTATTTCAACCTGAGAAAGCCACACAGAAGGCTGGGTGCTGGTGGCTCACGCCTGTCATCCTAGCTACTCAGGAGGCTGAGATCTGAGGATCACGGTTCAAAGCCAGCCTGGGCCAGCAAAGTCCGTGAGACTCTTTATCTCACATGAACGACCAGAAAACGGAAAGTGGCGCCGTGGCTCAAGTGGTAGAGCGCCCAGGCCCTGAGTTCAAGCCCCATGACCAACAACAACAAAAAAGAACTATTACTACTACTACTATTACTACAACAATATCAGTGCCAGCCACTTCAAATGCACCTGTCTTCATCCATCCACATGTTCTCAGCCTCTGCTTGTTACCACCAAGGACGTGGATACCTTCTTTAGGCCCAGGCTGGGAGACGGGGCTGTTAATGTGATGGAGGTTCAGTGTCAGAGGCCGCATCCAGGAGGTCTTTTGCCCATTGATGACTCTTATGTATTGGAGGCTGACTTGGTGCATGATTCTCGGGAGAGCTTCCCTTCCGATCTTACCTCAGTCATCTACCTGTGTTGGCACTGAGTGTGTGTGTGTGGGGGGGTGGTCTCTCCTCATGTGCTCGGTGGGTCACTACGGATGGTATGTGTGTGTCACTCGGGAAGGGAGGCTCCCTGCCATCATGCAGGCCCCGTGTGAAGCCTCCTTGATGGTCCTGTCTGGAAAGTAAATCCCCTGTTACTATCCCTTGCCTTTCGGGCTGCAAAGTAACCAAACTGTGCGGGCAGCACCTTTAGCTGAGCTCACCCACGTCGAGCGGCAACCTCGAGGGTCTGGGGGAAAGTGGATTGTCCTCCCAAACTTTTATTCTGTCACATTGCCTTTAATATATTTTAATTGTGCTGTCGATGTCACTTGGTCCTGAATTCCTGCTGTCACGTGCATCTGTCAGAGCACAGGTGGGACTTGCATTTTCTTTTTTTCTCCCCTTCCTTCCCTCCTTCCTTCCTTCCTTCCTTCCTTCCCTCCTTCCTTCCTTCCCTCCTTCCTTCCTTTCCTCCTTCCTTCCTTCCCTCCTTCCTTCCTTCCCTCCTTCCTTCCTTCCTTCCCTCCTTCCTTCCTTCCATTCTCCTCTATCTTCCTTTCTCTTTTTCTTCCTCCTTCCCTCTGTCCTTCCCTCCCTCTCTCCCTTCTTTCATTCCTTGCTTCCTTCCTTCTTCCTTCCTTTTTCTTCCTCTACCTTCCTTTCTCTTTCTTTATTCCTCCCTCCCTCCCTCCCTCCCTTCCTTCCTTCCATTTTATATCCTCTATCTTCCTTTCTTCTTTCCTCTCTCCCTTCCTCCTCTCCCCTTCTCTCTCCCTCCCTCCCTCCCTTCCTTCCTCCCTCCCTTTTTCTCCCCTCTATCTTCCTTCTTTTCTCTTTCTTCCTCCCTCCCTTCTTTCCTTCATTCCTTCCTTTTCTCTCCTCTTTCTATCTTCCTTCCTTTCTCTCTTTCTTCTTTCCTCTCCCTTCCTCCTTCTCTCCCTCTCTCTTTCCCTCCCACCCTTCTTCTTCCCTTCTTCCTCCTTCTCTCCCTCCCTCCCTTCCTTCCTTTTTCTCTCCTCTATCTTCTTTCCTTCATTACCTTCTCTTTCTTTCTTCCTCCCTCCTTCTCCCTCTCCATCCCTCCCTCCCTTCTGTCTTTCCTTCCTTCCTTTCTTTCTTCCTCCCTCTCTCTCTCCCTTCCTCCCTTCCTCCCTTCTTTCCAATTTTCTCTCTTCCCTCCCTGCCTCTCTCCCTCCCTCCCTCCCTCCCTCCCTCTCCTTCCTTCCTTCCTTCCTTCCTTCCTTCCTTCCTTCCTTCCTTCCATCCTTCTCTAGTACTGAAGATTGAACTCAAAGCCTGGACCTTCTCGCTTACCTTTTCCAGTCAAGGCTGGTGCTCTACCACTTGAGCCACAGCGCCACTTCCCATCTTTTTTATAGGTAATTGAAGATGAGAGTCTCACAGACTTTCCTGCCCAGGCTGGCTGTGAACCGCGATCCTCAGATCTCAGCCTCCTGAGTAGCTAGGATGGCAGGCGTGAGCCTGTGTTTTTCTCCACAGAGGCAGGGCCATTGCCACAGCCCTCTACGGTGTAAGGCTGGGGCGGGGGTGGAAATGGGTGATCATGTAACTCTCAACCCATCCGCCTGCTTCTCTGTGCGGGTTCTCCTGAAATAAGAGAGGGCAAATGTAGTGATCAATCCATCTCTTATCACTTCCTATTGACCCAAAGCCCTCCAGAAAAGGATCCCTTAGCATTGCCCCATGATGGACACCAGGTTAGATTCAACCATCTCCTTTACAAACAAGAAGGACTCAGGATGTAACCATTGTGAGCAGCTTCGCACAGATAACTGGACCCAGATCGGGCTGTCTGGCTTTCCCTGTCTGCTCCAGCCCCACCTCCTTGCTGAGTCATTCTGAAGTTTGGGGGGAACTTAAAGGGGGGAGGATACCCTCCCCTATCCCCCAACCCCGAGTGAAGCTCCACTGGTCTGTGAGAAGGAGCTTGGAGGAATCTCTTCCGGGACAGATGGATGGGGGGGGGAGGGGGATACCAGGTTAATATTTCACTCACCTTGGGTTCTAGTACCACAAGAGCCCAACTTTTCAATCACTAGGGCTCCTGTAAGTACCCTAACCAAGGGATATAGAGTCCTAGAAAAAAGGGACAAAGAATTAAAAGTTTTGAAAGAAAAAGGCTCTGGGATGTTTGCACACAGAGACCTTTGAAAGAATACCCACCTTCTCTCCCCCAAACCCCCCACCCCAAAATCTGGTGACTGACTAGCAGGTCCTTGCTTAAGAAAGAAAGTCAGAGGGGGCTGGGAAGGTGGCTCAGTGGTAGAGTGCTTGCCTTGCATGTATGAGGCCCTGGGTTCGATTCCTCAGCAGAAAAAAGCTGGAAGTGGCGCCATGGCTCAAGTGATAGAGCACTTGCCTTGAGCTGAAGAGCTGAGGAACAGCGCCCAGGCCCAGAGTTCAAGCCCCATGTCTGACAAAAAAGAAAAAAAAAGAAATAAAGTCAGAGCCTGGTACTGGTGGCTCACACCTGTCATCCTAGCTACTCAGGAGGCTGAGATCTCCCAGGGAAATCCGGGAGATTCATCTCCAATGAACCATCAGAAAAACCAGAAGTGGTGTTGTGGCTCAAGTGGAAGAAGACTCGCCTTGAGCTAAAAGAAAGCTCTCAGGCCCAGAGTTCAAGCCCCACCACACACACACACACACACACACACACACACACACACACACGTCATGTTGTAATTTTCTTCAACTATCCTCAAAGATGGACAGAGATGTGGCTCCACTGGGGACTGAATCTGATTAGTATCAATTGATAGTGAAGTATTATTTATATGACAGATTCCCAGAGATCTCGGCAGTGTCTATGTGTTTTGAGTTGAGAGAGAGAGAGATCTCATAAATCCATGAGAAACTTTTAATCTTTCACCAACACAGGAACTAAATACCTGGGAGAAATGTCCATCTCCTGCCAAGAGCGCCAGATTCATTAACTTTTCATCAGAGAGAGCAATCCGCTCTCCCATGATGCACCCTGCCCATTCATCCACCCTCTGCCCCTTTCCCAACCCCACCACGTAGCCACACAACACCCACTTGCTGAAGTCCCTGCCTCCCTAGGGAACCTGATCCACTTGGAAAACAGTAATAAAGGTGCAGAGATCATTCGTGTGCTGAGCTGTTTTCCACTTGTTTACCAAACTCCTTTCCTCGGTGAATCACTCGGGCCAGGCTTCAGCAACCAGCCTGGCCAATCTCCATGATACGATAAGACACGAACCTAGCTCTGGCTCACCCAAGGTCCACACCAAAGCAGATAAGGGTGACAATCTGAGCCAAGGTGACTCAGTAAGCAGAACTGCTTGGTTCATTGGAGCATCGAGGCAAGGAAGAGAGTCTAGTAGGTCTCCTCCTGTTAAGTCAGTGCTTCGGGGGGTTGGGAAGGTGACTCAGTGGTAGAGTGCTTGCTTAGCATGCAGGAAGCCCTGGGTTCGATTCCTCAGTACGACATACACAGAAAAAGCCGGAAGTGGCACTGTGGCTCAAGTGGTAGAGCGCTAGCCTTAAGCAAAAAGAAGGTTGGGGACAGTGCCCAGGCTCTGAGTTCAAGCCCCAGGACTGGCCAAAAAAAATGTCAGTGGTTCACACCTTTACCTCCATCCCTCCCTTGTCAGAACCAGAGACAGAACACTTAGAATCTTCTACAGAGGAAAGAACCCCAAGAAACTGAGCTGTTGGCTGAGCTACTTCTTGTTGGAGGGGGAGGAGGGATATGATCAGGGAAAAGTATCCCAGAGGAGGGAGCATCCCATCAGTGATGGGTACCCCCAAAAGATGGGGGTGACCCCCAAGCAAAGATTAGGCTATTTGTAGGAGGGATGGAGAGATGAGGAAGAGGACCGGCTCAGCAGAGATAGCCATGGAGCCACCGCGAAGAGAGATGCAGGCTTCAGGAAATGGTTCTCCAACGATTCTTTTGTTAAATTATTATTATGTGGGCGATGTACAGACGGCTGGACGTGACATAAATCAGGTCATGACATAAATCAGGTCATGTAGACCAGGTCACCCCTTCCCTCGCCCTCT